AGTACTGCTGTGAACATGGGAGTTCATTTTATCCTTTGGAATAATGATTTCATTTCCTTTGGATATACACCCAGAAGTGAGTTAACCTAACACACTGAGGACGAAGTGGAAGTTGTCCGTGGGGTGGTAGTGGTCAGAAGACAGTGGTTCAGTGAGGAGAGCTGCAACTCAGGGCTCCGAGCTCTGGCTTTGCCTTTGCGTTCCTGGTATCATTCTGTCACAAGTGCTCGGTCAGGTACAACCCTCTTCGGTTTGTGCAGAGGAAAGTAACTAAAAATGATTTATGATGCTTTAAAAATAAATATATTTTAGCCCATGACCAATTTCTGTCTGCAGGAGGAAGGACAGCAAAGCCATCAAGTGGTCTTGGTGGTAGTTTTCTCCACAATCCAGTGACCCCATTGCCTTTTCTCTATCAGACCTCCTCCTCAGCTTCTCTTTAGTAAGAGTCCCTGGCCTGTCAGTCTTTCCCCTCCAGCTCTATTGACATATTTACATGTAACATAGGTAAGTTCATGGTGTACAGTGTACAGTGTGTTTTGATACATGTATGTACTGCACAATGATTAGCACAATAAGGTTAGTTAACTTCCATCCTTTCCCGTAATTATCTTTTTTTTGGGTACTGATAACATTTAAGATCCACTCTCTTAATACCTTTCAAGTGTATAATACAGCATTGATAATTGTAGTCACCATGTTAAATTAGACCCCAGTTCTTATTCATCTTATTGCTGAGAGTTTGTGCCTTTGCCTGGTCCATCTTTACAAACACTCGCCTCACACTCAATCAGCTACTTCTGTCTCCAACCCGTCCCCAAATGAGCTCTTTTAGCAAAATTTGCCACTGGTTAAATCTCTCTGCCGACTCCACCCCTCCACCCATGCCTGCACGCAGGCAGCTGAATGTCGCTGCAGAAAACCACACAACCATCTTCACTGCCTGACTTTACATTTATGCTGTCATCTCTTAGGGGGGCCCGTAGCCTGGTAGTTCAACCACATATCCCTGGAGAATCTACTCACGCATTTTTCAAGATGACTATTTCACACCTTTCTCCTCTCACCTCAGATCACCAACATTTCTCTTTCCCGTTCCAGCTGTTTTATTTGACTGAGAAAAATACAAGCGATATGAGGGTCACTTTCACACACTCCCCCTCACCAGACTTGCCCAGCTGCCCGCTGTGCCACTGCGGTGGAGGAGGCACCTGGAGCAGCCGTGCACTGGCCCCCATCCCCTCGCAGTAACAGCAGAGCGGCCGCCAGCCTTATGGACGGGCCACTGTGTGCCGGGCTTAGTTGTAAATACCTTGTATATCAACTATCGCCATCCTTACAGCAGCCCTGTGGGGTCGGAATCCGTTTTACAGCGAGGCAGCTGAGGCACCAACATTCAGTCACCTTTCAGAATGACACAGGAAGTGTGCGTGGCGCCGAGTTCACATGTGTGACCGCCCTCCCTCTGATGCCTCACCCCTCAGGACATTCCTGTCTCTTCTGTCTCCTGCACCATCAGCCCCCTCTCTACCAGATCTTCCCATCAACTTACATTCACAGTCCAAGAGCTCTTATCTTAAGCACCGACCCTTGACTTCAGATATCTCTTCAGCGGCCCCTTTGTATTGCTCTCCTTTTCAAATTTCTTGTAAGAGTTATATTTGCTGTATCTACTAACTTTTTTCTAATATCCTTTTCAAATCCAGTCCTCCTTTTGTCCCTACGATTGCACGGAAACAACTTTTGTCAAGGTCACGAATGATCTCCACAGTGTCAAAGGCAGAGGTACTGTCAAAGCCAGATGGACATTCTCAGTGTCTTACTCGGCCTCTCAGGTGTTTTATTCATTTGGCTTCCCTGACACCACTCTCTCTTGGTTTTCCTCCCGCACAGCAGTCACTTCTCTGTCTCCTTTGCTGGATCGCCCTCTGCTGGCCAACTCCTAAATGTTCGATAATCCAATGACCCCATTTTTCTCTATCAACTTCCCTGCCTCCCAACACTCATTCTCTTGGTGATCTCAGCCAGTCTTAAGGCTTATTATTCATTAATTGATGACTCCTAGATTTTTATCTCTAGCTTTGATCTTTCCTGAGCTTCCAATACTTCTACTTGGAGGTCGTAGGCATAGCCATCACACAGTTATTGTCTCAATTAGAATTCTTTTTTAAAAATTATGTTTTTATTGATTTCAGAGAGGAAGGGAGAGGAAGAGATAGAAAAATCAACGATGAGAGAGAATCATTGATCCGCTTGTCTCCTGCACATCCCATACCCAGGCCAAGCCCACAACCGATGCCCTGACCGGGAATCAAACCAGGAATGAAACCATGACCTCCTGGAACATTGGTCAATGCTCAACCACTGAGCCACACTGGCCGGGCTCAAATAAAATTCTTGATTTTGCTCTTCATCCTTTAGTCCCTATTTTTGGTAAAGTGGGATCTTCCTCCCACATTCCACATTGTCATCAGCAGCAGGGCTCTACCTTCAAATTGCATCCCAGATCAGACCCCCTCTCCCCACATCCGGGACCTACACCCTTGTCCAGAGCACCATCCCTTACCCCCGGGTTTTGGAATAGCCTCCTAGTGGGTCTCCTGCTTTGTCTCTTGCTCTGACATAGCCTGTTCTCCATGCTGCAGCCAGAGTCATTCATTATAAACACATGTCAGACCTGGCCCCTGCCTCCCCCGCCCACCTCATTTCCTAGATGCTCTCTGTCCCTCCCTACCCACCACCCCAGCCCAGTCTTAGCCATTCTCTGGATACAAGCACACATCTGCCTCAAGACTTTTGCCCTTGCTGTTCCCTCTGCTTCCTGTGGCTGGGGATGCGCTTCCTAAATTGGCCTAAATTAAACAAGAGAATTCATTATTTTGGTATGATTTCTGTTTAGACTTTCCCTGATCAGAAAAACTTTCCCTGATCTCCCATCAAAACTAGAGCACCTGGCCTTTTCTATCTTTTTGCCAGTTTCAGTCGGGGTGTAATTTATGTCCTCTCTCTGTCTGTTTGCGGTATGTCCCTTCGGGCGTCAGACCGGCTCCACGAAGGCAGAGACATCCTTGCTCTATGCCTAGTGCCTGGAACCAGGTGCTTGACAAATATGTGTTGAATTTTTGAAACAGTGGCAGCCCTGTTTTCTCTATAACTGTTACAAGAAATTTGAAAAGGAGAGGGACACTGGGGGGGCCATGGAAGGGAGATATGAGGTCAAGGGTAGGTGCTTAAGATAGGATCTGTTAGAATTTGCTTGTAGGTTGATGGGGAAGGTCTGGTTGAAGTGGGGGAGGGAGACTGATGGTGCAGGAGAGAGAGGAGATAGCTACTGGAGGAATGTCCTGAGGGGTAAGGCATCAGAGAGAGAGAGCGGTTATAGGATAGGAAGGAAAAATATTAGATGCAAAGTTTTTTAAACCAAACCAAACCCAACCCTGTAAGTGATGGATGAGAAGGGATCTGTGTGGGGAAAACTGCCTGGAAGCAGCAGAGAGTCTTGGCTTTCCTCGGTGGCTCCAGGGGTCCATCCACGGAGAGCGTGGGGCCCACAGCATTCCTAGAACATTAAAGCTGGTGAAACAAAATGAAATGGAGATCTTCTGTCCCCTAAACCTACCCCATTTGAAGCACTGAAAATGACAAACGTGAATGTAACTCTTGTGATGATAGTAGCGAAAATGATTTTCAACCATGTTGCTTTTCTGAGTGTGCTTAATTAATATCCCATCTCCCAATTCCTCTGGGTTGGACTGGAACATTGAGGTAATGGTTTCCATTTCGTGGGTCACTCCTCCATACAGAGAACAGTTTCAGGAGTGGATGTAGGTGCCTCTCACTTAACATGATTGTGAGTTCTGCTCACTGAGGCAGAAGGAGAATGAAAAGACAATTATGCCAAAATAATGAATTCTCTTGTTTAGTATCTACAATAATAAAAGCATAATATGCTAATTAGACCGGACAGCCAGACGATCTTCTGGAGGAAGCTGGGGCTGTGAGGGCCAAGGCAGCCACCGCGGCTGCGAGGGCCGAGCTCCTTGCACAAATTTTGTGCATCGGGCCTCTATCAGATATAAAGGGATTGGAACGCTCCTTTTAAATTCTGTTAGCATTTTAGTGTGCTTTCCGAAGGATAAATCTTTAATGACCTCCAGAAAACAGGAAGAGGTTGTTTCCTACCCTAGTAAATATAAATATAACTAATAAAAATTCATGTTACCTGAACTTTGACGACAAATAAACATGATGCATAATAATTATCTGACAAAACTGTGATTTAAGAAGTTTAAAATGTATGTGAATGATGGGCACACATCAGTAGATGAGTGGATAGGAAAGCTGTGGTACATTTATACAATGGCGTACCACTCAGTTGTAAAAAAAGAGGGAAATCTTACTTTTGCAACAGCATGGGTGGGTCTGGAGAGTATTATGCTAAGTGAAATAAACCAGTCAGAGAAAGACAAATACCATGTGATTTCACTTATATGTGGAATCTAATAAACAAAATATACTAACGAAAAAAATAGAAAGAGACTCATAGAGACAGAGAACAGATTGACAGTTGTCAGAGAGGGGCTGAGTTGGGGGGCTGAGTGAAAAAAAGTGAAGAGATTAAGCCCAAAACACACAAAACCATCATAAACACAGACAACAGTATGGTGATTACCAGAGGGAAAGACGGTAGGGGATGTAAAAGAGAATAAATGGTGATGGAAGGAGACTTGGCTTTGGGTGGTGAACACACAGTACAATATACAGATGATGCATTATAGAATTATGTGCTTGAAACCTATACAGTGTTAGTAAAAATGTTACCCCAATAAATTCAATAGAACAATTTAAAGAAATGATGGGCACAAAATTCCACAAAACTCACATTGCTCACCTTGGCTATGCAGTTTGTGTTCACAGGCCAAGCAGGCCTATTCTGTAGCGTTTGGGTCATTGAAAAGATTCATTCCCAGTCACTTTGTCATTAATTTCTCTCTGTCCAGAGGGAGAAGAAGATGAGGATGAAGAGGATGAGGAGGAGGAGGATGAAGAAGAGGAAGACGAGGAGGAAGATGACGAGGATAAAGATGCAGACTCCCTGGATGAGAGCTTGGGTGGTGACACTGAGCTGCGTGGGTTCACTCTCCCTGGCGTCACCTCCCAGGAGCCTGACTTAGAGCAGGAAAGCAGGGACCTTCTGGAGGGAGTCACCTACCAGGTGCCAGACGCCCTCGAGTGGGAGCAACAGAATCAGGGCCTGGGTAAGAGTCTGGAGTGTTTCCCTTCCCCTGCTCCCTCCCCTCCTTTTACTTTTCTAAGGTGACTTTGGTTAGGGAGCAAAGTGAACGTTCTGTTTACATTGATGGGCGGTTCATTTGGGGGAAAGTGGTAGGTTTTTTTCTTCAACATGTTTATATTTAATGCTCTTAAATCACAAGGCTCCACACAGTCTCCACCTGCTCACTGAGAGCATGGTTCCCTGATCTTTGGAAGGAATTCCATCTTTCCTTCCCAGCTGGAGGACAGCTCTGGGCTTTGGGAGGACTTCCCAATGGGGAGGAAGTGTGTGTAACCAGCACACTTAACAAGAATTGTGAATGGTCTGGAGTCACCCTTTGTCCTTGTAGAATATACTCCCGAGTGTGAATGGTCTGGAGTCAGAGAACGATGTCGTCAGTCACCCTTTGTCCTTGTAGAATATACTCCCGAGGCGAAATTCGAGTCCAGTGACTTTTCTGTTCACTCTGTGGTGGCGTTCCATTGTCAGACACAGTATCATGTTAGCAGTCAGTGTCTGAACATACACCCCTTGCTTACTCTCTCATGTGTGTGGCTGTGGCCGCATTTTATGTGAGAGACTCTGTGGGTGCAGGCTGACCCCCACTTGGCACTCGCTTCCCTGTCAGCAGGGAAGCTCCGCTGTCTTCTCTTTTTGTTGTTGTTGTTGTTTTTGGAAGAGACACTATTAATGTTTGGGTGACTCCTGGAGGCCTCACTCTCTTGACCTGAGGCAAAGAGACTTCTCCAAAGAAATTCCCTTTGTCCTAGCAGCCCGTTCCATTGACCCGTCTTCAGTGTAGCAGGGGTTTGGTTTAAGAGTCATATAACTACTTTTGGGGGATTTCATTGAAAAAGTGGATGTTGGTCAGGGATGTTACTCTGGATATCATACTAGTGTGTCTTGATGCCTGGTTGAAACTTCTAATTTAGAATCCTATTACTTCTTATTTCTTAAAGATTGTTCTTCTCACTTCCCATGAAAACTCTCTGTTAGATCAGTGGTGAGAAAGGCTGAGTGCATTCAAATGAGTATGGAATGGGGAAGTCCCAGTGTCTGTTTATCGCAAGATTGGGCAGCTTACAATAAGTTCGTTTTTTTTTAAAGCTCAGACTGGAATTGTTAAACCCTTTAAAGGTTTGTAATCTCAGAGGCAATCCTTGTCATATTCGCTAGAACTAAAGAAACATGCACGAGGATGTTTAAAGTAATCTTTTCGCCTTTATAGAAGTCTGTGATGAGCCGTCCTTTAGATTTGGTTGATTACTTTTCTAACAAACCTAGCTGAGCACCTACTATGTTCCTGGAACTTTGCATGGCATTTGGAACAACAGAGAAGAACAAGGCAGTGCCTTTTCTTGACTAGAGCAGAGCCATTTCATTAAGGCTTCAATGCAGGGAGGGTTTCTTTTTCTTTTTAAAATATATTTTATTGATTTTTTACAGAGAGGAAGGGAGAGGGATAGAGAGTTAGAAACATCGATGAGAGAGAAACATCGATCAGCTGCCTCCTGCATACCTCCCACTGAGGATGTGCCTGCAACCAAGGTACATGCCCTTGACCGGAATCGAACCGGGGACCCTTAGTCCCCGGCTCCATCCACTGAGCCAAACCGGTTAGGGCGCAGGGAGGGTTTCTATAGGAAAAGTAGGTTATAAGAGGGCAGAGCAGAAATGTAGAAGGGGGTTATTTATATTAGCTGGGAGTGAGCAGAGCTGTCACTTGCAGGATGGGTAGATAAGAGAGAGCGTGCAGGGGAAGGAATCCAACAAAAGAGTATGCACAAAGGCATTGGGGGGTTGAAAGAGCATGGTGCATACACGGGTTGACAAAGACATTTGTTTCATATCAGACGTTTTCATATTATAATAAGTTACTATTTTCCTAAATGTGTCTTACCTTTTGCTGTCACTTCTTTTCCTGACAAATTCATGTTGTCCACATGTTTTTAGTACTGTTTCTAGGAACCGAAACAAGGAACAAACTTTTCAAGCTGGTTTTTTTCCTGTTGTGGGAAGACTGTTTGAGTAGTGTCTGGGACTGAAATTTTACCAGCTCATTAACTTTTCCTTGGAGTGTCAGGCGTATCTCCTCATAACTCAAAACCAGCAAAAACTCCTGGATCAATATTAATTGATACAGTATCCTAAATTCTCTCGGATTAGATGAAATGAAGGAAAACCTCCCTACTTGTGATGAATTTGTGGTAGGCTCCCCGAAGATGTCTGTGTTCTAGTCCTTGGACTCCATGACTGTGTCACCTTACCTGGCAAAAAGAACTATACTGACGTGATTAAATGAGGGGCCTTGAGACGGGGATGTTATCCTGGATGATCTGGGTGGGCCCGGTATATTGTAAGAGTCCTTAGAAGGAGGAGGTAGGAGGATCAGAGTCAGAGAAGGAGATGCGATGACAGGAAGAGGTCCTAGTGATGTGGCCAGGAGCCAAGGAATGCTGGCTGCCTCCCGAAGCTGGAAAAGGCAAGGGATGGATTCTCCCCTTGAGCCTCCAGCAGAAACACAGCCCTGCTGACACCTTGATTGCAGCCCCTCAAGACCTATTTCAGGTTT